ATCAGCTCAATAGAGTGATACTTTTGATGCTGAGTATAATAAGCTCTATCGCACTTCCTCAATAGTATGTAGCAATTGATTATTATAGGTTCACATTTGTTCAAAGCTAGAGGAATAAGTATTATCTTTCTGTACCGGACAAATATTGCTCAAACATAGCCATCTAATATAGTTAGCATAAAAAAATATGAGGCTCAGAGAAGCTATTTTCACGTGGACACCATGTAGTTTTACAATTAAGCATCTTGATTGTGCCATAGAGAAATTCTGCCGATTCTCTAACTAACCATAGTAACGCTAACTAGAGTTAACTTTTCCTTTATGTTACTTACGCCACTTGTAGGCCCACAAAGGTTACTGGCAAATGAAGCCGAGACCTTACAACAGAAGCAATTCCAAAGACAGGTTGAATTGGAGAGCCGTGTAACGCTGCCTAACTACTCAGTAATTTTAAATGCTATCACTCGATCCAATTCCTTCGAGGGATATTGCTCATCAGCATTAACAAAACAATTTCAAGTGTAACCTGTACAGATTGTGTAACAGATGGTGTAACTGCTTTAGCCTTGGTTTTGAATGGGCAACAAGCTCTTCAAACACTTGTTGCATTTAATGTAGTAATGTATGAAGTTATATACGAGGGGATCAAGCCCATTAAAAAATGGATGTGAGTAGAAATATACCCAAAAGAAAGCACATATGAAACACAGTGATAAAAAGATGTGATAGTACACTAAAAGACATGGGATGTCCATCAAGTTATAATATCTCTTATTCCAATGTATACCAAGGTATACCAAGACTTTTCCCACACTGGCTCCTGTATGATTGACTTCTCTTCTGGTGAGTGAGATACCCCATATCAGATATCAAGATGAATGCCACATGCATGCGTAATATTCGGGGCGTCATCAGGGTTTGACAGGCATGGCTCAAAACCACCGGGTGACCCCGGAAATGCGCCACAAAACGTTTTGACTAGAGCATTCTTGATTTCTCGGGGTCGCCCGGATATTTTCGGAAAAAATTTCCGGGGGTTCTCAGTGGATTGAAAGCTATTGAGTCCGCTATTTACGAGTGAGTGCTCCCACAGATTTTTCAATAAAATGACATTTACAACGGGTGTCCCCGGGTTAAACCCTTAAAATCCTCCGGGTGTAGCCCCCTCTTAGCAAGAGTGCACCAGCGGATTCCTCCGGTTGTCCCCTGTTCCAGAAGTAAGTTATCTATTCCCGGGGGAATGTCAAACCCTGGGCGTCATTGATATGGATCTGGTTAGATCCCGTAACATCAGTCCGAATTATGAAGTAAAAGATGAGATGTAATTTTGGAATCATACACCGGATCAATTACCTGGAGGTTTACTTCGATCTTGAAGCTGATATCTTCGAAAAGTAAGGCACGTGTGGGCTGTGTCGAATTACGGCACAACAACTGGTGGGATCAAGAAATGCCACATGCGTCGCGTTTTCCAGCACTTGTGCTCCACGGTCCGACGTGAGGTCGGCATGCGACGATGTGTGACATGCATCAGATCGGTAACGAGGTGCGATAAGCCTCCGAAGACGGCCCGGCCCATCCAAGCGGACGGAACGTGTTCATTCTTCCTTCCGTCCAAGGCACATTACCGTCGAAGCAGGTCGTGCCTTGACACTTGTCGCCTTCATACTATCCCGGCACGTCGACTCGTCAAGACCATGGTTAACAATCAGAGCGGATCAAGAGTACTCGACACTCCAAATCGAGACTGGGTCTGGTTACATCCGTGTTAGGAGGTCACGGAGTACTTTGCTGTTCTCGAGCTCGTTACCGGAGATTTCAGAGTAAGAACGATGAGAACGGGTTGACCGTTTCGACGGAAATCGTCTCGTCGTTCGATTTGGGTCGCAACGAGTCATGTCGAGCACTGCGGACTTCGCAGGCCGTGCGTTGGGAGAATTCGTGACACCGGCGATCGGCGCCCGTCACGGACTGTGTGGACAGTCGCGTGGAGCCCATCGGTTCTCACCTCATGCGGACAAGGCGCACATTGAAGCCGAATCCGATCCAAGCCATCCGCTCCATTCACTCCACTGCGCGAGTTAATCGCGAAGTGATACTCAAAAAAATATGAAAAAAATCGAAACATTTGATATATTTTGAAATAAATATAAATAAAAAATTTTGAAAAATAAAAAAAATTATTAATTTACAAGTAATTTTCTTTGCTACAATTGTATTTTTTATAATTGATAATTATGAATCAGGTAAAAAATGTGTGTAAAATATATTTTTAAGTTCAAACATCAATAGTTAGAAATTTTTTGAAAAAAATTCACAAATTTTAAATTCTAATATAGTTAAAAATCATCCTAAACACACAAGAAAATCACAATATGAATCTTTTTAGGAAAAAATAATAAGAATAAAACACTAAAACGAAAAAATAAATATAAACGTATTTTTATTTAAGATGGATATATCAAGTTGAAATTAAAAATCTAAAACATTATAATTATTACCGAATAAATTTAGAATTTTTTTATACTTCATATATACATTTGGATTTATATCAAAATTTCGAAAATTAAAATAAATGTCAAGTTTGATTATTGATATTACAATTAAACTAAATTGAAAGTTATGTGATTTTTCAATGCCTACTTAACACAAAATAGAGATATAACAACAGATTCAGAATTTTTCATTAGTATTTTCACAAATTATTCTAAAGATTAATATTTCTTACGTATAAAAAAATCATTGCAAGGAAAATGTTTAATGTTGGTCACAAATAAGTTAGACAACAAAACTTTTAATGTAGTGGTTGTCTCTATCAATATCACTTCTTTGACCAAATGAGCTCATGAATCAACAGATCAAGTATTCAAAGTGATTTATTGCATTATGATGATTTGCTTCATAATTTATAAAATACAGTGAAAATCTTGATATTTAATGATACTTTTCCATGATAATCATTGTAGCTAATGAAATTCACAATCATTTTGAATAAAATAAGGTTATTATATCAACATAATTATGGCAGTTGATATATGTGTGATAGAATAGCACATTATATGAATAATGATGAATAATTGATCACTTTGATTACGTTTTATGTGTAATGTAATTATAAGATCTATACTAATGACATATCAATATTAAATAAATTAGATATATGACATAGTCTACATAGATTTTAATACATAGCAAGCTCTTTCATATAATATAGCAACACATGCACAACCTTTATGTCTTTAATGATACTATTCATGATAATTGTTAAGTATTTCCAATTTGTACAACAATTTTATGCATCACGTTTGTATAAAAAAATAATTTCTATGAAAAATGTGTAACAAAAGTTTAAAGACATACAAATATCCAAGATAAAGTATAAAACTAATGAAGTATAAAAAGATATGGTTTAAGATTATTAAATTCTCTAAAATTATTTCAATTAGTTATTAAAAATTTCATATTTTTGCAGCAAAAATTGAAAAGAAACTTAGCATTAAAAAAAATTTCTTGATCACTAAACAATTCAAAACATACTTTAGTCAATCACTGTGGATTGAAAATTTAATGAATTTTCATCTTAAATTCTAATATTCTATTGTTAGAAGTCATGTCAGATATTATAAAACTCTGTTACTGTCTTAAAAAATGGTGCTAGCTCTCAATAACTTTGAATTTTGGGTAAGGGTATGTTATTCATATGTGTTCGTGTAGATCTAAAGAGATAAACCTCATATGTTTGCGTCAACTATGTTGCATAGTTGTCTCTGCATGTAATCTAGATTTTTCTATACGGTGAAATCAAAAAATAATTTGTGCGAAAACTTCAAAATAGATAGATATTGAGTTTTATTTCAGCAGTGAACTTCTATGTAACTATATATAGAGCAAAAATAACAAAACTCTTAAGAACGGCAAACTAGTAAAAAGGACTATATAGGAGACAATAAACCAACTCTCCATACACAATTGACAAAGATGTTTATTTGATGATACTCTTGTATATCAAGTTTGATTTGAATGCAAATAAAGATAACATATGTGAAACATTTAAGTGGATTGACACATAGTAGTAGAGAATGATTACCAATAGCAAGGATCATTTACATTCAGTACATCCAATATAAGCCTGGCTAGTCTCACAGCTACTCAATGTACATTATTACAACCTCGTCATACCTTAGAGTGTGGAAAAATATAACAATAAGAAATTTATACATAGAGTCTAAACAAGATATGAAGTGTTATTAATTCCAGCAATTCCAATCCATTTCCCGGGAAGCGAACAAATAAATGAGCATAAATTACAAAATGAATATAAATGTTTCATTAATGTTCCCAAGAAAAGTGTATATTCTGATTGAAATGTTTTATGGAGACAACATCACAAAGCTTTTGTCAAAATACGAAATTGTATCCGGAGTAAGAACCAGAAAATCCTCGCTGCTGGAAAAGGGACCAGGTAGTTAAATAAATGGACCTGCGTCTATAGCCATGCCACATCTATTATTTTTTTTAACAACAGAAAGTTAATAATAACCGCCAACTGGTTCCGGTGGTGCAATACGTAATATCCTCTTATTCATGTAGGTGTGAACGGGTAGCGTCCATCCTCCCTCGGGTAAGAACCGGGTTTATTTTGGGCAAGGACAGGCACACGAGAGGCGGCTCGCCTCAATAATTCGACCGGCACAGCATCCGAGCGATCTCAAGCCAGACGCGACAAATCGCGGATGCGAAAACGACAAGCCGCGGAGGTGAGGAGAGAAGCCGCGACGCCGCGACCGCGACCTGCAAAAAAAGGCACGGCGAGCGCGGCGGTGACGATCCGGACGAAGGATAGAGAGATGACGGACGAGGATAAATAGATGAGGCGATTCTGGTGAGGGCCATTAGAGGAAATCTGAAAAGCTGGGCGCGGTCAGTCGGTCGGTGCAGGCGACGAGGACCGGACGCTGACGGTCACGGGGTCACGGGAGGGTGTCGGCAGACGAGAATGCCCCGAGCCAATCGGCTCCGCGAACGCTCTCCGACGCGACGGGACGGGGGACGGGGGACGGGTCGAGGAGGTGATCGCCTAAGGCTCGATCGTGTTCCGTGGTCTACTTCACCTGCGACTGCCTGCGAGGAAGAAGGGCGGAAGGCGCCCGAGTGGGGACGTTGGCAGCCATAGCGTCGTAGACTAGATACTATCAGAAAGCGAGGCGTCGCTAGCTCGAGCAGCAACGGAGTAAAACAGCGCTTCCGCGAAGTGCCGGGGATTGATTTTTCTCGAGATCTTTGCGAGGCACGGGCGGGCGAAGCTTCGAGAAGTCAAGTCGCGGGCGAGGTGCCGTAGCCCGCCAGCCAGCCAGCATGCTTGCCAGCATACGCCCATAGGCCACGCGGGGTTGCAGAAGAGAAGAGCAGAGAAGAGAGGTGGGTCTGACGGTCGAAGCTTTGCAATCATTCGAGGATTCATCGTGGGGGCAGGCACGCAGCTCAGGGTGGTGCGGTCGGAGAGCTCATAAGCCTGTCGTCGACGTAACCCCGGGAGGAACGACGCTGACAATCGTGTTTTTTCTTTGAATGTGGAATAGGTTCGTGTGGCTTCTGTAAAGTGTGTGCTCCGGAGATTGGAAGGCGGAACATCGGCGAAGAACAGGGCAGGTCAGGGGAATTCGAGCTGAAGTTGCGAAGGTGTGGTTTGGTGCTGCCATGGCAGCGGAGTGTGCCTGTTTGGGTGTGGCCCGGGCGCAGTTAGCTGGCCCTGCGATTGCGGTCGCCGGGAAGGGAATTAGTTTGAGTGTTGGTTCTTGCTCGGTTTCATGCCTTCCTCTGAGGACCGCTTATTCCCTTCAGCAAGTCGATAGCAGACGGAGCGCAGATGTTGTGGCTAGGGCAGGTTTTGGAGCGAGGAGTGGGGCGTCCTCGCGGTCTTCCGTTAGCTTTGTTCCCAGGGCCACCGTCGCTGACAGTCCCCAGTCCAAGAGAGCGCAAGACTTGTACACAGTCGGCGACTTCATGACCCGCTTGGACGAGTTATATGTTGCGAAGCCAAGTACGAGTGTCGATGAAGCTCTAGAAGTTCTTGTGGAAAAGCGAATTACAGGGTTGCCCGTCGTGGATGACCACGGAAGGTTGGTCGGAGTTGTTTCGGATTACGACTTGCTGGCCCTGGATTCCATCTCCGGGAAGCGAAGCGAAGAGGGTGGATTCTTCCCCGCCGCAAACAGCACGTGGAAGGCTTTCAAGGAGATTCAGGTGCTTCTGAACAAGACACATGGTAAGACTGTCGGTGAGCTAATGAGTCCTTCTCCTCTCGTAGTGAGGGAGCTGACGAATATCGAGGATGCGGCCAGGTTGCTGCTCGAGACCAAATTCAGACGGTTGCCAGTCGTCGATGATGCAGGCAAGTTAGTCGGACTTCTCACGAGAGGTAATGTGGTGAGGGCTGCTCTGGTCATCAAGCGGGCTCAAGAACAGAAGACGGCAGAATAGAATTCATTCCTTTCCTTGTCTTTCGTGGAAGAACTTTTTGAATGAAACATTACTGCAAATCACCGACCAAGCTTAAGCAGTCAGCAGTAAATTACTAGCGATTACCATCTTTAGCTCAAGAATTCCTCAGCTGAATACAGATTCCTGCCTACTGCAAACGCGGTCATTCAAATATCATCAATTCTCATCTTGTATTTTTTATCTGAACAAGAAGCATACTATACAGAAATTTCTGGTTACGGGAATGGGTCCTCCTTGTTTCAGATCTGACTTTGCGTTGCGCAAATACAGCGTGCGGAGTTGACAGACCAATCTGCTTGTTTTTTTTCATTTAGAGATTTGAATCGTTTTCGTGATGGCTTTCTTTGTGAAGAAAATGATTTGTGACGTTGTAGCTGTTTCTTTCTATTCTTTGAATTTGATACTCCTGCGCAAACACACGTGGACGATCTTATTGACTCCTTCGCTTGCAAGAAGCAATGGAGATTATTGCCATCTCAGGATAGGTTAAGATGTAAACAGCCAGGGAATGTAAAGGAATTTTCAGTGGATGAGTTCGATGTATGCTTCTCACATGCTGTCTTCATTTTGCAAGCGGTGAAGATAGAGTCCTCACTGGTTTGCAGAGTTGGAAGACCAACATAGGGACTCATAAAGCAGTAGTAGGTGAATAACTTCGGAGCAACGAACAGGGATAACAGTAAACAGATCACGGACGGATCATTTTGGGTGGAAAAGGCTAATATCATGGTCCAAGGAGTATGTCTACTAATCTGTCTGAACTTGTCCTTGTTCTCTCTCTTTTAGGCTGCCAGTTTGTGTGTGGTCAACTGACATTCGTCTTCAATGCCGGACCTCTTCGAAACTTTGTATATGTGAAGTCCATGGCATGGTTTAAAAATTCCGGAGTTGTCCTTTCACTTCCCACAACAGTCTCGATTCTGTACCTTAACTCTATACTGCACATCTTGTGCTGTTTGGAGAGCGTCCTTGAGCAAAAGTGACTTTCTCGACGCCTTGAGTACACTAGTGAAGCTTACATGTGGATTTTTCGACGGCCCTGACTTAGAAGACAAAGCAGTATGAGCTTGCATATCAGTGGGGCAGGTTGCTTCTAATCTAGAAGCGTTTGTCATCTGAACTGGTTTACCAACAAGTTTACTCTGGTCTCAAACGTCGTGTCAACTACAACAGCAAAAGCTCAAAGCCATTGAACACGGAAAATGTATTATCCTATACTTAATGTGACCCCTGGACACCAGTGTCACACCTGTAGTGTGCCTCCCATTGCTTTTTCTACTAAATTTTGTACGCTTTGTTCAATGCATAAGTACTGCATTTGTTATACAATTCTCGTGTAGTATTAGCTCACAGTCCGCGTGTTCTTTATTCATAACTGTAAACTGCACCCCACCCGTAAACAGATACCTACTGCTTCTACTGGCACATGGAGGTTGACTGCTGAGAATGGGATCAACACAAAACCGAGTGTGAAAAAAATCTGCTGACTTTATGTGCATTCAGAAAAAAGTATATTTCTGCACATTCTGCTGGCTAAAACGAGAACCTATTTTCTCGGTTCTGTTACTTTGAATCGAAGTCGCGTGACTCTGGTGTCGCAATTCCAGGATGGCTTCTTGGCAGAGTTTATCCCCAGAACGAATAGAAACCGTCTAGGCCGCAAGTGTTCTTGCTCGGTGGGTTGTATAACCAGATGCGGTGATCAAATTAGTTCATGTGACGCAAATTAGAAGGTTAAGTAATTTACGTTCTGGGAAAATTGCAATGACAGCAAACGGTCGCTGGGAGTCTGCAAACTTAGTATGTCATCAGAGGCCGATGATCGTGAGTTTGAGTGTAGAGTTATATCCGTTCGGCCACATCACGGAACTTATACGTAGATAGCAGAGTATGCGAAGGTGAATTGTTTGAACAAGTGTATGTATGGACGAAGAAATGCACTAATCGAGCAAACCAATGAAACAACGTGTTTCATTTGGTTGGAGTGAGGAGAATTCTGGCGTGAGGCACAATTCTGGATACTTGTACTCTGACTGACCTACTAACACAAAGTGTTGGCACGCATATTGTGATCGAGATTTGTGTTAGGCCATTGAATTTAGTATTCATTTTCTACGCAGGTTAACTGATGGTTTTTGGATAATGCAGGTTTTTCTTACTTGTTTGTCTTGAATATGCTTCCCCCCGTGAGTAAGGATTGTGTGGTGTGTATGGTGGGTAATGTGTGCAAAATTTGAACTCAAGTTCGAAGGTAAGGATAATGTGAGTTTGTGTTAACGTAAGTAATTAGTGTGTTACACATATCAAATAACGGAGGACTGTTTCAAGGGATGAAATCAATACGTTGGGATGAGGTAAAGATCAATTAGCATCATTTGTTGAAATATGTCCAATTGCAACTAAAGTATTTAATAATTTCTATTAACAGTATTTTAAACCATCATTTGGATAAATATATATTATTGAAAGCACCAACCTATGCTTAAAAGCAGGGATAAATTTGCAATCAAATAGACTACCGAAGAAAAAAAATTCTGATGTAGGAGGGTAGTGTTAGACATATAACAATCCAAACTTGGTAACATTATATATTTTGGATGAAACATTTCCTTCTATTTTTTTTTGTAAAGTTTTTTTGAAGTTATTTTATAAACAATAAAACATACATGATTGCTTTTACAAACATGTCAATCTTCAATTTGATATTTTTCAAAAATTGATAGTAGAGACATAATTGATATACATTTTCTTTAATGAGAAATTGACATTTTCAAATATAATTATTTATAATAATGATAGTCTTACAAATTGTGTTATGAGTTTATTAGATTTTTTTAATGTTTTGAAATAAACCTTAAGACAATTAACTTCAAAAAATATGTTCTGAAAAATTATTATTATAAATTAAATTGTTTAAAACTTTTTAAATTCTGTCATGTCCATATCAACAGTGTTTGCTTTGATTTAGTGATGTTTTTTTTCTTTCAAAAAGCTATTAATATCCATAACTAACATCTCTTGAATGCAAATTTGACTTATATAACTAGATTTTTTTCAAAATAACCAATAAGCATGTCATTCACATACATTAATAGATTAAGAAGATTCAAATTAATCAACTTTTGTTTTATGTATACATATAGATCAAGTACCCTTGTGAAAATCTTTATGCTTTTATAAACTCATTGAATCTTGCATTTCAAAGCCTAAAATCTTGTTTCATTTCATACATTGATTTATGAAAAATTTGTCATATTTTTTAAAAAATCAGCTCGTTGTTTTATGTATAATTTTTGCTAAAAGATTTTATTAAAAAAGGATGTTGAATAAAAAGTTCATAAATTGATAAATTATTGCAGCAATTGCATATTTCAATTGAATAAAATCATACATCATTGGATGTGACAAAACTATGTTAAAGTCCACATTTTTATATCAATTTTTTAGCCATGAACCTGACTTTGAAAATATTTCTTTTAATCATATGTCAACTTGTATACTCATTTGTTATCAACCAATGATTGATTTTTTGGAAAATTTATTGACTTCCACATTCACATCTTGTTATCATTTAGCAATTGCATCTCACTCACTATAAGAATACTTCATTCAACTTGTTGATAAAAATCTCAGTTTTTTTCAAAAAATACAAGTTTTTTATTTCATGATCAATTTATTGTCATTATTACACTTAATAGCATGATCATAGTCATAAAAAAAAACTATCCATAATCCATACCTTGCAAAAATATTTTCATATGATTTGATGATATTGTAGATTAGTCTGATTGATCTCTCTAGTTTGATGTAGTGTTTTTAGTCTCATAAATAAAATTTTAAACCATTGATCTTTAGAATTTCTGTTTGATCTTGACTCAAATATATCATTGTGTCATATGACTTATTGATCAATCTCTTCTTGACAACATCAGTGCGTAAACATTTGTCTTTGCTAATAAGCAGACCTCTGCAAATACGGAAAATACGGAACTCGAGAGTCTGATTACCTTATTTCGTTTTCAGAAAGTTACGTATTTCCAACAAAAAGTCTTTGTTATCTATGTGGCTTTACTAAAGAAACTAACGGAGTCACTCGACTAAAACTTTGCGGTGACCGTTTGTGACAATATGTTTGTTGATCTAGATGGCTTTACTAGAGAAACTAATGGAGTCACTTAACTATAACTTTGATGTGACCGTTTGTGACAATATGTTTGTTGATCTAGGTGGCTTTACCAAAGAAACTAACGGAATCACTCAGCTAAAACTTTGAGTTGATCGTTTGTGACAATCTCTTTGTTGATCTAGATGGCTTTACTAGAGAAACTAACGGAGTCACTTAACTATAACTTTGCTGTGACCGTTTGTGACAATATGTTTGTTGATCTAGGTGGCTTTACCAAAGAAACTAACGAAAATACTCAGCTAAAACTTTGAGTTGATCGTTTGTAACAATTTCTTTGTTGATCTAAGTGGCTTTACTAAAAAAACTAACGGAGTTACTCAACTAAAACTTTGGGGTGACACTTGATGAGTTCAACCAGGCAAGTTCTAATATTTTGTCTCCTTGCTTACCTTAGTAACTTGCAGCTTTGAAAACATAAGAAGTTAATCAATAAATTCTGAAATATCAAGATCGTCTCAAACTTTCCTGGGAACAAAAAGACATAGATAAAATAATGAAAGAACACAAACAGCTTTTGGTTTTTTGTGAATGAAGAACATTACAAACTATATGTTTTCGGTTCACAAAAATCTGTTGACTGAACAGTCTGACTCCAGGAATCAAGAATAGATTTTATCAACTCATGAAGTTTTTCGGAGGATTAGTTTGACCATTTTTGAACTCTGCAACTGGGTGAAAAATGATATCCATAGGTAAAAATAACACCCATCTCTCTTGAAGTTGTATTACATTGTCATCAAACTCGGCCAAAAACATGAGAGATTTCTATCAAGTTCCGTATATTCCGAATGTTGATTTGAAAATTATACTTATTTTTATTGAGATATGGAACATACAGAATCCGCTCTATATAGAGAAGCCTGCCAATAAGGTATGATGAAATTTTATTTTATTTCATTGATATGAAGTCATAAATAAATAATATTCCTACTGACACAAACTTTGAGACTACATGATTTCATAATCCATAATTGTTTCACAAAACTAGTCTACTAAAAAAACAACACTCTTGAATAGAGAATCCAATTTGATCATA